GGGAACTACGAGCTAGTGCTACACTGTCACAGCGCCACAGAAACAGCTGTACTTCATCCACACCTCCACACCAACTGACCGTTTCCCATGAATCCAAATTATTGCATTTCTGGATCCACTTCCACCCCCGTCCTCTTGGACAGGCAGTGCCAAATCCTTCTGCCGAGTCCTTTTTTCTCACCTGTTATCACTCCAGAATAAGCTAATCCGTACCAATGTCTTTACCTCAAGAGGATGTTCAGAGAAAAGTCATCCACACTTTGGGGGCTTCACCACTGCTCACTCATTGCACCCACCCCCTTCTGCCCCTCTCAGCGAGTTGATGGCTTTTCAGGTTACTTTTCAGCTTGCAAAATTGCACATTTCTGCCATGACTTATTTAGACATGATTATCATGCACCATGAGGTACGGCTGGCTTTTACTTGTCTGCTTTCTCCATTTTACCATAGCTAATTGCAACCTCAATTTGCCTGCAAACTGAATTGGTTTGTATGCAACAACTGTGAACATCAAATTTCATGGCATCTTTCTTTTTAGCTTTTTATTTTCCAGAAAGGATGGAGCAAACTAAGGCCTGAGGAGGCAGGGTAGAAAGATGCTCTCCAGCATCTGTGTGCAATTCCAGGAAATCAAAAAATGACCTTTTTATGCTGCTCACCTAACGCTATGTCATAATGCTTTGATATTTGGACCTTGCATTTGACCATGAAGTCTAAAAACCGCTATTTTTTCACATGTGACGGCTGACCGTTGCATGCATACAATCAACCAGACCAGATGTGCCTTTTGTGTTACTTTTTACATGCAGCACACATCTAACTGAATTCTCAGAGGTTGCTTCTGAAGATGTACTCTCCTCACTCCTTAAAAATAACAACATATATTCCATTTGCTAGTATACAATAGGTAGTTGTGTGGTTTTTTGTCGGTGCTTCTATGGAGAGTCTCTGGTTTTGGGAAAACATAGAACACTGTGCTCCAAGTCTTTAAAAATCCATCTCATTGTATGGCTAGTACACAAAGTCTCATCGAGTTCAGTTCGGACTGGGATATCCAGATTTACATCATAAAGGGTCTTTTAAGCCATTATATTGTCAACCTTTATGGAATCTGGCATAGCAAGAAAGAATACAATTCATCAAAGTAAATTATTCC